GAGTGTGTGTGTGTGTGTGTGGGAGTGTGTGTGCGTGAGCGAGCACCTCTGCTGTTGTAATTGTTACTCACTCTACTGAAAGGATCCTTTATTGAGTGAGTCTGAGCTACTTCCTCCCCCTCCTTCTCTCTCGCTCCCTCTTTAGCCTTTAACCCTTACTGACCCATAACACTCTCTGGAGTTATTCATTTTATGCAAATCGTACTCACCATGTTATACTTGTTGCATTTATTCACACAAACACATATAGATACAACAGATACCAAACTGTTTTTTGCTTCATCTCTGTATGTTTATGCTGTTTTTCATTATAGGGCTGTGCTAAAATAATCAATATGGAGCCATTCTTTTTATCACCAATAAATTACATCAATTTCATATCATTTTCATTCATAACCTTTTCTACAATTTTGCAATTCAGTTTCAAGCAGTTTCTCCAAACTAAGCTTTAACTCTGAAAATGACGTTTCTAAGCGTGTGAGAGAGACTTAAACTGATACCTCGCCAACATGCTGAGTCTTTTTCTCACACTGTTGACGCAGGTTCATTCACAATGTTTTGAATCGTGGTACGTACTGTGTTGTGTTTTATAACATTTTCTACAACTTTTCCATCTCTTATACGCAAACACTTATCGTTACCTACCCCGTACCTTTCTCCTGATGTTCTCTCTCACTTTGGCCACCTCTCAGAGTTCAAACAGTGGCAGTTCATCGCAGGTAGGCTGCTTGGGGTCGGAAGGGTTGGGTCTGTCTGTCTGTCATTAAACAGATGTTATAATGACCTAAATGCCCTATAATGAATAAACCCTCAAAGGAACTGATTTGTGTAGCCACATCCTTCTGTTGTCTGTTTCCCTGATGAGTTCTATTGATTTGAGCATGATTACATAATTTTGCAAAAGTCTCAGTGACAAAGCTGGTTTAATTCTGCAAACAGAAACCATGCTACTTTAGCAATTTGTGTCTTAAGTACACTGTCAAAATTATTTTTCGAAGTCTTTCCACTTCATTATGTGAGATTTTCCAAGTAGTTCTCTGCCACTAGGTGGGGCTTTTGAAATTGAAAAATAGTGGTTTCCCCAATTATGACTGTACACAAAGCAGCACTGCGCCAATAAATGCTGCTTTATCAGGCATTACAGGAAAGATGAAATGAAAATGCCATTAAAACTTTTCTGAAGACAGTCAGTCCCCTTCAGAGATACAGTCATATAAAAACACCCACACCGCGATTTGACTTTGGAACATGCAGCTCATATTTATTCAATGAAATCATAATCTTAATCGTCATATTAAGCCATATCACGATTCTTGTCTTTCTGTCCCCAAATGTAAGACCTCTTGAAATTATAATTAAGACTTTTCTTATACCATTTAAGGTATTTAAGTCTTTTTATGGTCTTAAATTTGCTACAACTAAATTAAAGATTTTTTAAGGACCCGCGGGAACCCTGTATTTAAGATAGCCCATCGGGCAGGGCGGTGATACATTTTGGTATCACAACTGAAAGATACAATAGCCCCAGGACGTCGATAACAATCCCAATATATGTAATAAATAGCTATACAACTTTTTTTTTTTACATCAAATATCCTGTTTCACTCAAAAATGTCACATTACAAAAGTAAAATGGGTCACAAATGCCATTTCATGTCTACAGGACATATCAAAACAATATTACTACCACTCATAACAAGATGCTGATTAGATTTCGGTCTAATTTCATTCAACATGTAGGTTTATCAAGCACCTCAATTCTTTTTTACATAATTTAAACTTCTGAAAGTGCTGAGCAATGCTACTCAAGTGTGTGGACAAGTCATTGGGGAGGTCTTTCCTTGACATTCCTCCCATACTAATTCACCCCAACGCAAACGCACAGAGGACACAATACCACATGACACCACACAAAGTGACACAGTCCTGTCAGGGAGTATTGAGTTCTCCTTCACACCTCAGTCTCACAATTGATCAAAGCGAAATCTTTTAAAGGAGTATATCTGATGTAGCACCTACAGGCGAAAGGCTTCTGCAACATTTCGTTGCTTTGAAACAGTGAGAGCTCTCCACAAAAAAAAGCCCATTCATTAAAATGCCCACCCACAAGATGTGTATGCACACACACACACACACACACACACACACACATAAACACTCCCATTGTTTGACAACGCTACCCCCCAACTGAATGCCCCTCAGCTGGAGACCACACAATGATTCAAGGTTTCACCTCGTGGACATTTCATCCTAAAACTGAACATGCTGTTCCGGGAGACCAAAAATAGGCACCTAAACCCAAAGTAGAAAAACGTCATGCAGCTTCTGCATTAATTTTAAAGCTAGCAATGAATTATCATTATCACTCCTTTACAAATCCATATAAAATTATTTCCTGTGAGGTTTGGCTGTTTAAAGTTTTCAAAGATGACCTTAAAAACCTTCTAAAGCTAGCTTAGATAATCAATGCCTGACTTTGGGCTATAACATAACACTTTGTACCCTGTTCTGTTCCTGTCTGCGTAGTGTGAGAAAAACCTTTCTTCCTGTAGAGACGTCAAGAGACGCATCGTCATCATCAGGGTCGACTCACGTTTCTGGCCTTAATAATCAACAATATGTGGCACTGCTCTTTTAATACCTAAAGTTACCAAGGGAGCCTTTCTGATGGCCAGATTTACATTTTAATGCTACTCAATGGCAGTAACAGAAGGAAAACTGAATGTGCACACTGTAAGGGCCGATCGCATCAGCCCTCAGTGTACCTTACATCAAACAGAGTCCCTGCAATGTCAGAGAGTCGGCATCTCTTGAGTTTGACAGCCAGATCAGCTGTTTGGCCAAAGCATGCTTGACTAACAAGCTGGGACAGAATGTTACAGTTTGGCGCCGATAGAAGGAGTTCTTATTTGTTTTGATGTTTCAATATCTTAATACACAATGAGGGCTGTAATTTATTGTTTTTAAGCTGATTTCCCACGTCCTCAGATTCAAACCACCGACCTTCTGGATACTTGTAAGCACTAGCAGCACTACCACTACCCACGGGGTTTAATAATCTCAATTTATTAGACCTTACATCATAGTGCAAAGCTTGAAATGTCATTCTACAATCATGCAATGAGTATTATAAAGAATCTATGACAGTATCCTTCTGGCCAGAAAGATTCTAATGTTGGAGTTTCGGTTTGAGCATTCGTTTTGAGACATTTTCAGTTGTGCAAACAGGGAAGTAACTGTTTTCGAAGTCTCCCTGATCACACTTCCTGATCAGTCTGAACAGCAATGTAGCCCATCAGATAGAATATCTTTACACTACTGCCCTTCCTGATTGAAGTGGAAGTGGAATTTTGATGGGGTTATTGCTGGGAGAGCAAAAAGTGATCCAAGACATTTAATAACACTGTCCTTCTGGATTTTCTTGGGTCAATCTATTTGCAAAAGCAACAATGAGATCAACTGACCTTCTTTAATCTTTGACAAACACTTGTTATTACATATTTACTCATTAAAACAAATTAGTATCAATTTGTATGTTACTAGTAGGCCTGCTTGTTTTTTTAAGAACTTTACTATCAAGAAAAAAAAAAGACTAGTATTTCACTATTCATTAGATTTCAGTACTCAGTCGACATTACTTTGCAACTAGTCAGAATCTCAATAGTGACAAGTACTTATTTAATTGATACTAGTAACAAATGGCAATTTTTTTAATTGAATTCTATTGGGAACTGTGGTTCATACATTAACTATTCACTTCAGACTAGTCATGTTTTTCAATTGTTGCTGGTGGCTATTAGAGTTTACTACCGAAGAAACATTAGGTACTAGTAAGTATTCTTTTGTTTATTGTTACTACTCAAACTGTTACTAGAATCTAGAATATTGCAATCTGTTACCAGTAACATTGGAATAGTAACCTATTAGCATAGTGGCTAGTAAGAAAGGTGTAAGTAATACTAACTTAAGTAGGCCTATTAGTGTCTAACGTAAAGAATAAGTACGATAATCTCAGTAATATGCCAGTCATATTGAAACAGTCATTTTATTTTCATTTTTGGATTACGTTTTAGTACATAAATATGAAAATAGATACTAGTTAGTTTCAAAGAACATTACAACATTTTATCATAAACACCAATAACGTTACGTTAAACCTTTTGCAGAATGAGTAAATTCTTACCATGTCAACTGGGACGTTGCCCGTCATCTTTGAAATATTTTCTGTCGTATCCTCACTTTAGATTAAAAGTTGTTTTTCTTCCTTCAGTTTGCTTTAGAAACAGCAGGTGGCTTGTGGTAAAGCAGTTGCTAATGCAGAGATCACTAGTCTGGTTATTCCTGTAGGCTCGCTGGTAGAGGTAACGTTAGTTAAACGCATGGCATAAGCTTCAAAACGGAGAAAATACTAATTTCTGGATGTTATATTTATGTGGGAGGACTCCCTCCCATCCTGAAATAAACAAGGATATATATTAGGAAAAATGTGCCTACGCCATAGGAAAACAAAATACTACAATTCAGCCATTGGTATTTGCAAATATACCGAGAAATTAGTTCCTCGCGAGTCCGCGATAAAAAATAGACCGTCGCCTGGTCGGAAAAAAATGCTGTAAAACGACGGGTTTTTATCAGTATTATATCCGTCTTCGTCTACGCTCGCTCTCTGCTGTCATCCTGCCTCAAAAAAACATGGCGGCAGTTGACGGGGGGAAAGGCTGAACGTGGGGAAACCAGAGCAAAAACTGCGCGATGTCGATTGCTATGTGTGTGCGCGGATGAATACGGCCGCCAGCAGTTAAAAGAAGAGGCGGAGAGAGAAAGAGAGACGAGCCCACAAATCCATGCGCAC